ATGCAAAATACTATAGCCCCTTTGATAGTGCCTCCAACAGTCTCCTAAAACTTTAGTCCTCCATTTATCAGATAACACAATCCTGCCACTTCTGGGAGTTTTCCAGAACACAGGAAGCTGCACTAAGGGCACATAACCCCTGATACAGCAATGGTTCCAGACACTTCTATACACTTCTATAACTCCCACCTGGGAACAATGCAGAGAAATGTCAACCCATGAACAATAGGCACATCAGCAGTGGCAGTCTGGCCGCTGGACAGAATGCTATTCACAGTCCAAAGGCAGGCCTGGGGCACCAGCGATATCTCAGATCACTGCACTGCAAGGAAGAAGCCAGATACACAAAAGAAAAGAGCATGACAGCACATGCAGCCCTTATGGAAAATGCAAAGAAGTGCACAGTGGCATCAAGATGCAGTGCATGAAGAGGAAGCAGAGGGAAGTGTACTCTGGAGAGCACTGGAAATGCTGTGTCTTGATTGTGGTGCTAGTTCTAAGGTGCAGACCTACCCGCCATGCACTTGCACTTGTGCACTTTAAATACATGCATTTTATACATGTGAATTCATACACAGCCAAGATTACAGACAAAAGAATGGGGCCAGAGCATGGGCAGCAGAAGGAAAATTAATGAAGAGACAGACTTAAGGGGCGCTTCAAACATGAATTGCAACAGAACCTGAGACAGGAAATCAGAGACTCCATCCTTCTCAGTCTTAGAGAATCTGGCTTCTGGGTTGGAACAAACATCAGCCCACAGTGTCCAGGGATCTATGAGGCCACGTCTCTGAGTGAGATCCAGGGTTTCCTGCTTCCAAATACCACCATCTGGTTTTCATATGTAAAATGCATGCCACCAGTGGCCTGGGAGGTGGCAGGTCTGCCAGGATGGAAGAAGATAGGCACCTTCTGGTGTCTGAGGGAAATTATGTCACAAATGCCTGTCGGTCACCTCCTCCTCCCACTCCTTCAAACCCTAGGGGTGAGCAGCTGTTGCAGCAACTCTCAGACCAAGCAAGAATGTGGGTCCAATAAAATGTGAATGTGGAGCCCTAGTGGCGCGTGCTGCCGCCCCAATATTACAGGAAAATTCATCATAGTCCCAGGAATGCTCAGCGGTCATGGAGTAGGTTTATGTACCACATAGCACATATTAAAGGCACAATGGGCGAACCAAGGCATTTGACTCCTTCCCTCAGGCTTCTGAACTGAGCTGTGAGTTTAGGATTTGCAGCACAGAAAAGGGGAATGAAATCTGCTTTCTGCAACTCTGAAAGCTCATCGGCCCTACGAAACACTACATGTGTGGATTCATTTGAACAGCATTTCAATATTGGAGAGGCAGGGTTTGCTATTTCTTCTTGAAGACGTGAGCCAAGTGCCTACAGGATGGCCCAGTGGGTGAATGTACTGCCTTGCCGGTATGAGCCAAAAGTTTGATGCTCAGAGCTATGAGCACCCACAGCTCTCCCTGACTACAAACGGCCAGAAGCAGGCAAGCCCCACCAGCAAAGAGTCACAAACGCTGAAGGCAGGAATGTGAATGGGGGGGGAGGGGCATGACAACTAAGAGGTACACAGACACCACAACTAAAATGACTGAAAGTTGCATACTTTTATTCTATCTTAGTGCTTATAATATTCCACTGGGTACATATATCACAGCTTCTTGATCAATTTATCTGTAGTTGGGCATTTGGATTGCTTCTATATCTTGGCTCTCCTACATTGTAAATATGAATATAGATGTGCATATATCCTTTAAAATTAATGCTTTTGTGCAACTCTAAGAAAGAATAAAATCATGTAATCTACAGCAACATGGATGGGACTAGAGACGATCATGCTGAGTGAAGTCAATCAGGAGGAACTGGATAGACACAAATGATCTCTCTTCTATGTGGGATTAAAGACACACAGCTAGGTAACGGGAAAAGGCCAAAGCCAACATAATGGGACAACAGGCCCACCCAACTGAGTCAGTGGGGAAGGGAGATTGAAAGAGAGGGGCGTTAGGGTTCATGAGCAGGGGAGGTGGGGACACTGGTGATGTGTGTAGTATTGATATTAGGTGCATGAGGAACCATCATTAGCAAATTACAGAACCTCAATCAATTAAAAAAATTAATTCAGATTACTCGATGCTCTAAAACATTGAGTAAAAGTTCAATAAATAAAACGAAATGAGTGTAACCCTTGACAGTGCTTGCGGACCAGCAAGGTCACAGCTCACAGTGTTTAGGGGACTACATGGTGCCTGGGAACAAACTCAGGGCCTCATGCATGCAAGGAAACCACTCAGCCCTGTGCATTGTCTCCTTGGCTAAAGGAGACCATTTTAGATGTTGTTCCGAGTTTTACTGTCCATAAACTGAGACAGAGACAGTTCAAGAACCGCTCACAGTCTCCTCACGGGAAGCAGACGAGCTGAGATTTGCACTCAGGCAACCTGCTCCAGAGCCTACAGTGAGGCCCTTAATAAGAAGTGCCACCTTATTAATTGATGGAATGTGGGGTGGTTACCAGACCACGGTAGGGAGCAATCATGGTTTAAAGGAAGGGATAGAATCTCAAGATATCCAATTGCTGGAGCTAGCATGGTCAAAATAATAGAAATTCTTAGTAGCTGGTACAACCTTGAATTATAAAGCAAAATAACTAGATAGATTTGGAAAGTATTCAAACAACCTCTAAAACACCTTAGATTGTATAGGGGCTAAGCTACTTGCCTTGTTTTCGGCCAAGCTTGGCTTGATCTCCGACACTGCATGCTTCCCACAGCATTGCTAGATGCAGCTCTAGAGTACCCCAAGTCCCAGGGAACCCCTGCACCTCAGGGCACATCACTAATTCAGAGACCCCTTCCCCAAAAATGCAGCTTTTTCTCAATCCTATCACAACTGAAATTTGCCTCAGTGAGCATAGCAACTCATCTCACTTCCAGTTCCCATGCCCAGGCAGTCTCCAGGACAGTTCACCAAGATGAGCCAGACAACTTCCTCGTCTGGGACAGGACAAAGGTGGGCAGGCACTGTGTCTGCCCTGCAGCAAGTTCGGCCCTCAGCTACATATTAAGAATAATAAAACAAGAGCAGAGGGTCAGAGAAATAGTATAGCAGGTACTTGCCTTGATGCAGCTGGCCCAGGTTCAATTCCCTGCATCCTATCTGGTCCCCAGAGCACCATCAGGAATTAATTCATGAATGCAGAGCCAGGAACAAGCCTGGAGCATTGCTGGGTGTAGCCCCCAAACAAATAACAACAATAATAATAAAAAAACAAGAGCAGTTTCCTTAACACTCCTGAGCCCTACTCCCCCATCGACAAGATGGGGAGACAGACTCTAACTCACTGGGCACCCAAGGGAGAACAAAAGGGGTCAATTAAAATTTAATGAAGTCATGAAATTTCCTTATAGATGGATGGACATGGAGAGTATCAGGATGAGTGAAATGAGTCAGAGGGACAGACATAGAATGATTGCACTCATTTGTGGAATATAAAAAAATCAAATAAGTCATAGTATGAGAATACCTGAGGATAGTAGTAAGAGAATTGGTCCATGGTAGGAAGCTTGGCACAATTGTTGGTGGAGGGCAGTGAGAACAGAAACGGAACCACTATGACAATGATAGTTGGAAATGATCACTCTGTCACTCTGGACAAGAACCGAGTGCTGAAAGGAGGGAAAGGGACAAACATGATACTATTCAGTACTGGTACTGCAAACTGCAATAGAGAGAGAAAGAGAGAAAGAGAGAGAGAGAGACAGACAGACAGACAGATAGAGACAGAGATGCTATAGGGGAGTCGTGGGAAGAAAACTGGGGACTTTGGTGATGGGAAATGTACACTGGTGAATGGAAGGGTGTTGGAACATTGCATGACTGAAACCCAATCACTAACAATCTTGTAACTATGTATTTCACGGTGATTCAATAAAAAAGGAAAAAAAAAACTTTACCCAGCATAAAGGATGTACCAGACACTTTCCATGCAGTTACATTTCTAGACCAGACCCATGAAAAGGTAGTTGTCATTTTAATTTTCTGATACAAAGAGACATCTCCAAGATTTCCTGGCTGATCAGATCTGACCCAGGGCTCAGACTCTGCCAAGCCCGACCCCACTGTGTCCTTCTGTGCTCTGTGAAGGATATGGCAATAACTCCTTATGCCCAGCATACAGTAGGCGGTGAATGAATGTCCTTTCTTCTTTCCTGTCTCCCCTCACTTCCTCACTCTCCCTGGGGCTGTGCCCCCACCCCAGGGTGTGTGTGTGTGGGATGGGGGGGTCGCAGGCGAAGCAGGCACAGGACAGATGAGTGGAGGCTCCATGCCAAGTTCTTAATGAAGAGCCTTGAGAGCAAATAGATTTTGGCTTCTCTTCCTAATGACACCTAAGCTCTTAGAGTTCCAGCACCATCATTTCCTTTTCCGGAATTTGCACAAAATCCTCCAGATGACTTTCAAAAGCCACCAAGTTGGGAATACTAAACAACCTTAAGAGTGATACTGTCACCTCCAAAATATAAAGAGCTTGGGCTTTGGGGTCCTTCTCTGAGCCTGGCTGAATGTTCACCAAGCAGGACATCTTTCTACTCGGTGTGTCAACATAAAGATCATACCCCATGATTAAAGCTACAGAGAGAATTCTGCGAGGCATGCAAAGGATGTAAGCATGGAGGAGCACAAGTTACAAAGGGCCCGACAAATGTGAGGGATGACGGGTATTCGCAGTTTATCAGAACTGCCAAGGAAATTCCTGAAGAAAAATGAATCCCAAAGCCGAGGTGAGCTGTGAGCTGAATTAAGGAGGGCCCGATGGTAGAGAAAAACTAGCTGTCACAACCCCATTTCAGTACTGCAAGTTAACCTTCAATCAATTTTATAAGGCCAGGAAATAGCTGTATTTTTAATTAAGTGTCGGTGGTAGACTCAGCAACATGAAATTTAGTGGTGGAGGGGAAAACCAACTTACAGGACAAAGCAGCTTACCTCTCCTTCTAAGAACGATATCTTTTCTAAAAGCTGCAATATTAAGAGCTGCTTCTGTTGCACTTTTTTCTTCAGTGATTCAATCTAGTGAGAAACAAAAGAAAAATGACTCATTAAAAACATAGACCTCTACAGGTTAATCAAAGGCACAGATGGCTTTAGGTTCACTTAAGTAGAAGCTCTGAACAGGGGCTGGGAAGAGAAATCCCGCACAAGTGAATTTGAACTCACATATCATGAGATTTGTTTAACCGCAATTCTGATCTTGCATTAGAAGTCACATCAACCTTCTATAGATGTTTCAGGATGTCTCACTCTTCGGAAAGTGCAGAAACAATGTTACATAAAATAATCGTTCAATCTGAGTTTACCAGGCAGTCCTCAGTTTAGGCATTCAGCAGTTATTCCCATTAGTGTTTGTTTGACCAAGTGCCAAAATTTTAGTCATTGTCTTTAAAAGGATCACTCACCCTAAAAAATGCTCATGGAATTCACAGGACAGAGCACTTATGTGGTCTGGGAAGCCATTAAAGAAACAGATTTGAGCTGGGACTTTGCTTTCATTTTTATATTCCATACTGGATTACTATAACTTCATTTTATATCCTCATATTATGTCTCTATCATACAGGCTTCCTAAAAGCAGAAACCAGGGTATTTAGTACCAGGTCATGCCTTTGTGTAAGACAGTGTGTAAGTTTAAGAAATAATTTGTGATTTTTAAGACTAAATATACAAGATGGCTAGAAAGTACCCATGCTTCTTTTATACTAAATCTGCACTTGCAATTTTTAAAAATACCCTTTGTGCAAAATTAAACAATTCTAATGGAAGGGAATTTGCAATAACTAGACAAATTACAAGCACATTTGCCTTCTACCCAGCAATACCATTTATAGGAACGACACACTGTTCAAAAAATTTACTTGGATATAGGGTTTTAATTTTAGAAGGTTAAAAAGAAAACAGAACTCCACCAGTACATAATAGTTAAATAAACATGGTACACCTTAACAATGAATTTCTAAATTGCCAGAACATGTGGTATATTCTAAGTATGTGTGATACCTTTAGTGTAAACCATATGAGGGTATGCAAATGCCTTTACTTGCAAAAACAACAACAAAATACTCCAAAGAAAACCAAGTCTTAATGACAGAGAAGCGGTTATCTAGAGGGAGAAGGGAGTAACCAGGAGCAGGAGAAGGGGAAAGCTGTCTTGCATAACACCTTGCTGCATACATAGACTGTACTCTGAAAGCACTTTTTACAAATACAAAAAGAAACGAAAAAGGGGGGAAAAAATGAATCCTAGAACTTGAGAATGGGAAAAAAAGAGACTTAACTGAATATCAAATTAGTGAAAAGGATGAATTCAAGGATTGACATAAAAAAGTATTTGTATCCAATAAAATAATAAAACTGCCTCAGGACATCCTGGAGGAGCAGATCAATTTCAGGGGACACACACACACACACACACACACACACACACACACACACACACACAAATGTACCAGATGATCCCAAGACACTTTGTTATGCTAAAAATGAGGGCAAGAAGTGCTCCCTTTGGCCAAGGATGGGGCAAAAGGGCATCAAAAAATAATGAGTGTAACTGCAAAAAACCCATAGAGTATGTAGACATAGACAGATATGTAAATATTTTTATTTATTTATTTATGTTATATTTGTTCTGTTTGGGGGGGGGCACACCTGGCTCTGCTCAGGATTCACTCCAGGTTCTTTGCTCAGGGATCACTCCTGGTGGGGACTGGAGAAAACAAGTCTCTGGGGATCAAACCATGGTTGGGCACATGCAGTGCAAACGCCTTAATCCCTGTACCATCTCTCTGGTAGCCTATTTTATGATTCTAAGAAGTCAAAACTAGGCCAGGGATGTGGTTCAACAGCAAAGTACCTGCTTGCATGAGAGAGCTAGGTATGATCCCCACACCACATACAGAGAGCAAAACACAAAGAGCAACAATACCTCGCTGGGTACTACTGGATGTGAGGGAGGCTTGAACTCCTTCCTGAGAAACTCAGCAACTCAGAGAAAAGAGTAAAACACTGCCCCGCCATCCCTGCGCCACCCCTGTGCCACCACAGTAGGCGGGCAAGTTTGACTTTACAGCTTTCCCATTAATAAATGGGGGAGAAATGCAGAGTCAGAGTCTCACCACGCCTGCCATTATCACACAGAACAGTTGGGGGCAAAGCCATGGAGGAATGTTGCAAACTGTGTTTTGGTCATTGCAACACCCACTGCCAGTCTTAGCACCATCCAAAGTGGGGATAACCAGGTACTATGTTCCTACAATGGCACAAAATTGACTACACAGGGGAGTTACTGGAGGATTTTTGTCTCTCCAGGCCCACCACAAAACACACAATCAGCGGCAGTGGCAGCAGCGGCAGCATCATATCTAATCAAATTTTTAGCTCTTAGGACTATTAGGGAGACAAAAGCCCAATCCAAAATGGCCCAATTTCCAGCAACAAGTCACTCAGGAAAAATAAACTTGTGTGTGTGTGTGTGTCAGTCTCTGTGTGAGTGAGTGTGTGTAAGAGTGAGTATGTATGAGTGTGTGTGAGTGTGCCTGAGTGTGCGTGAGTGTGTGAGAGTGAGTGTGTGAGTGTGTGAGTGTGAGTGAGTGTGTGTATGAGTGTGTGAGTGTGTGTGAATGAGTATGTGAGTGTGTGTGAGCGTGTGTGTGAGTGTGTGAGTATGTGTGTGAGTGTGTGTGAGTGAGTGTGTGTGAGTGTGTGTGAATGTATGTGAGTGAGCGTGAGTGTGTGAGTGAATGTGAGTTTGTGTGTGAGTGTGAGTGTGTGAGTGAGTGTGAATGTGAGTGTGAGTTTGTGAGTTTGTGTGCGAGTGTGAGTGTGTAAGTATGTGTGAGTGTGAGTGTGTATGTGTGAGTGTGTGTGAGTGAGTGTGTGAGTGTATGTGTGAGTGAGTGTGTGTGTGAGGGGGGGCAGCTAAATAAACAAGTAGCAGTACGTTCTAGATTAGAATATTATAGAGGCATTAGAACCAAACAGAATAACCATTCCCTGTGTGCTGACTGGCACGAAGCATCAGTAAGGACATAGGCACCGGAGAGGAGGCTCAGAGGGGAGAGGCGCTTGCCTGGTACGCACAAGGACCCAGCACCAGGTACCCTCACCCCAGCACCACCAGGAGTGGCCATGAGCAGCAATAAGGTAGCTCTGGGGATGCCCCCTCTGCACCCCCCTACCGCTGCCCAAACACTGAAATGCCTGACATGGCTGGCCAAGATCAGTGGGAATGGACCCCCAGGTCCCCCAGCAACACTCAGGAAAACCCCAAACTATAATTAAGCCTTTTTAGGAAATCTTATGGAGTGATATTGAACAAACTGAGGAATTATACATTTTGTTGGGTGTGATAAGGGTGTTCTGAACATATAATTTTAAAAGGACATATGCTTTAGAGATGCATAGCAAACGAGATAGGAAACCTTCAGAATGCCTAGGGTTTGCTTTAGAGTAACTACACAAAACAGGGGGAGAGAGAAAAAGAAAGGAAGATCACACAGAGTCTCATAAATGTGGCCAACACTTGCTCTTACTTGGATCTGGGTAATGTGTTTAAGGGGGCTTCACGAATTGCTCTGTGTTCAAGAGAGTCTTGGACATTTTCATTATGAGATTTTTAAATTCCACCTGGTGTCAAAAATATAATCCTCTTACATGAAAAACATACTATATAAAACAGACTATAATCAGACACACTTAAGAAAAATAGCTAATGCTAATAGCAAAAGGCATTCCCAATTAAACACAGTAATAAATTACTCAGCCTTTATTTCTACTGAATTTACTAAACTATTGGCTGAAGAAACCAGAATTGGAAGGACTTGAGAGGGGCAGCCACTTTCAACTACTGCAGGTGGTACTGTAAATTAGAATGACCTTTTGGGCAATTCAGCAATAAATATTAAGAGCCATAAAACTGTTCCTACCCTTTGACCCACTAATCCCACTCCTGGGAATTTATCCTAAGGATATAATTCAGACAGAGGCAAAAAGCTATATATACAGAGATATTCTCACTCCTATTATTTATAATACAGAGAAAATGGAAATAACCTTAATGTCTAAGTGCTATAAAGGAAAGGGGAGTAAATTAGGGACTATCAGTTTGAGGGAAATACTTTACACACCCACTAAAAACAAACATACCTCAAGTTGAAAAGATATTTACAAAAAGCCTCTAGAGATAGAAAAACAGAAGTTTTCAATGATGAAGATAATAGATGAAAGAGAAATTAAATAAATAAAATAGTTTGAGGATTGCGGGAGAATTACAAGCTCCCCAAAGTGTGTTTTGTTTGAATTTCTTTAAATTTCAATATGACTAATTCTCAAAACAAACCAACAAATAACAAAAACTATCCTTATGGAGTTCTTTTTTAACTCCTTCCTATAGCACTAAGTATTTTAAAAACTGACTTATGAAATCTTTCAGTGATAGAAAAATAAGTATAGAAATTTGCTAAAATGTTCCAGGAATGCCAACTCTAATATTTAACAAAATGACATAAAACGTGGCTTTGCACAGGAGTTTTTCTACTTCCAAAGTAATCCAAGGAATTTTGGAAGCAAGAGCCTAAGAAAGTTCTATTGATCCTGGTCTGTTAAATTTTCACTTGAAAAAGGAAAACAAGGCTTAGAGAGATAGTGCAGGGTTTAAGGCACTTGCCTTGTATTCTGCCAACCACGGTTTGATTTCTGGCACCATACAGGGTCCCCCAAGCTCCACCAGGAGTGATCCCTAATCCAAGAGTAAGCCCTGAGCACCTCCAGGTGTGGCTCAAGATAAGACAAGGAGAGAGAACTAGAAAAGAAAATATGATGCGGAGAGGAGAAAAGAGAGAAAAAAAGGGGAAAGAAGAGAAAGAGGGAAAGAAAAGAAGAGAAAAAAGAAAAGGAAAGGAAAGACAAGACAAGACAAGAAAAGAAAAGAAAAAGAAAAGAAAGTAATCCAAGGCAGAGCTGCGGTTCACAGGGTAGGGGTGGGTGCATTCTGGAACCGAGGTGGGTGCACTATCTTA